CTCCCTCCGCCCCGGGGATCCCGGCGGAGCCCTCCGGGAGCACCGACATTTTGAATGCATGTGTTGTGGGGCAGGCTTTTCTAGGGCTTGGTGAGAAATCCTGCTTGCTTGCTCTCTTGCTCTTTTTCCTCCCTCCTCCTTCTTTTGGGGGGCTTTTTCCCTCCCCTCCACACACCCCCACCCCCCCGGCTACGCACGGCATAACAGTCCTCCCAAATAACTGCCGAAGCTTTCCTCCCCTCGCTTTTTCGGGGGAATTTCAGCACTTCGGTAAGTAGCTAATAATGTATGGCTGCTTCTGGGTGCTCAGTGAATTGCCAGGTACTTCTTTGTGGAAGAGACCCTCTTCTTTCTTTTCCAAGCTAAAAAGTGGTGGGTTTCTACTGTTTTAACTCTTTCTTCACGTGAACGGTGAAATGGCATTTCCTACGAAGCTGATTTCTTATCCCGCCATGGAATAAAGCACTGATTTCATTCCTCTCCTCACACTGAAAACTGGAAAGAAAGTCTTTTCGTGTCATTAAATGTGCGGTCAGGCATTGCGCTGGCGACTGAGCTGAACTCACCTTCAAACCCCTCATCATTTACGCTCCCCTGTGTAAGCGCAGGGGCAGCTCCCCGTGCCTGCGTTAGCCGAGCACCTCTCCCCCTCTCTCCAGCACTCACAGACCGGCTCTTTCACCTCTCACGCTGCTGCTGCTGCCACAGCTTAAACTCTGATGGGTCCCTATAGGATCCCTTTAGGATCTGCCCCTTTTCAAAAGGAATTCAACAGCCCCCGCCGTTGTTCCGAGGATGATTTAGAAACAAAGGTCAAGTGTAACAGCTTTGTTCATCCGTGAAACCGGAATAGGGGAGAGGGCTCTTTCCCCCAGCTGGATTCTCACGTAGCCTGGCCAGTGTGGATTCTGGTGCAGCTACATTTTATACTCTATTTCTTCACATTTTTCTGGGCTTGCTGTGTTTGCTTCTATTTATACCTCTCACCTCCGTACTGCATTGTTTACTGCCTGCTCCTGGGCTGCTGCAGGGCAGTCTCTGCTCCTGCCTGGGAGACTTACTTTTCAGTTGGTTTATGTCTCAATAAAAGCTCTCAAAAATATTTCGTTCCGTCCCATACCCTGCCGTTTTGCATCTCCCGGTAAATATTATTCTCGACATTTTCACAAACACGCCAATTTGTAAAACTGGACTTTTTGATGTTGCCGGACTACTAGGGAAAAATCAGAAATGTAATTTCTGAAACCACACTCGGTACTAGAATCCTTTTTTTTTTTTTTTCAGCATAAAGAGTCCCTATTAATGAGACTTGCTTTATATTATTTTCTCCTCGATCAGTAAATGTAAAAACGTCTGCAGGGAAGTTGACCCCCAGCAACGCGGCACCTTTTGTCACCTGCACACCCTATTAAGTGCAAGAATCCACCAGCTGATTGATTTCTTTTGTTTCCCGGAGGCTTTTTGTGGTAACTATTAATTTCCTGGGGCAACAGAGAGTCATTTTCTCTTTCAAAGTATCTGACTAGGAATTAAAATTTATGATATTGTTTCCGATAGATGGAGTAGCTTACAGATAAAATGCAGCAGTAAAAACAAATAAAAACGTACCTTTAAACCAGACTTAACATTGCTTGTGACTCACCCGCTAACGCTATAGGCATGACCTGGCTTTAAACGCGAACTTCTGGCGTGCAATAAAAGCCTCTATTTCTCCCTAGGCAGGGTAGGTTTGGGTTTGTTTTTTGTTTGGGTGGGTATTTTTTTTTTTTTTTTCGGAAAAGCAGTTGTTTTATTAAGCCACTACTTAAACCTCGTCTTAGAGTAAATTAAGCGCTGGTAGAGCTCAAAACGGGTCAGGGACGAGGTTTTTTTAGTAGCACAGGTGAAAAAGAAGCGAGAAAGTGAATATTACCTTTCGGGGTTCACTTCTGCTGTAGCAGCGGATGGGAGAAATCCCGGTGGTAGCGCGGATTTCTGCTGTATAAGAGGAGTGTAGGGTAGTGGTTGTGGAGAAGAAAAAAGCTTGGAGCATCCTCCAGGACGCGAGGAAAGGGAGGCGGATAGCAAAAGAGAGTGCTTTGGGTCACTTCGCCTCGGGGACCTGCGGATTGCGTTGCTCGGTTTTAATATTTCAGATGGTTTTAGTGCTCTTTATACCAGGTATTTTGCGGGTTATTTCCCCAACCGCGCATCCTATGGGCCGTGCTGCTTGGATGAATGATCTCTAGAACACTTTGCAAACAAAAAATGATAACAAAAGCGCCCAAAACTTCATGTTTCACAGAGGTTTTTAATCAGAAAACACAGCAGTGTGACAGAGTGTATAGTAAACGTGACAGACAGTTTGAGCAAATCACTTTTTACTTGAAAAGGGTAGTAACTGATTTTGTGGAGCTAAACTCTTTTTTTAATTATTTTTTAAGAATTAAAATCTAAACTAATGTACACCACCTCCTCTTTTAAGTGCTATTTTAAGTACTATTCATTTTGCATTGATTTAAAACCATCTATTTTGCGCAATTAAAATTTAGACTATTCAAAATAAACCACTTTAAACTGCCCTTCTGTCCAACAACTAGATCCTCTATAAATGTTAAAAGTTTCAAACTAAACTCTTTTGGATACGGTGCTGAGCATCGTTAGCTCCTGTTGTAGCTGGAGAGGTAAATGGGTTTGAGTCTGATGAATACTCTCAGCTGCATTGCAATGGAAAATTTTCAATGGTTAAACTGTGCTTTAGGCGCAAGCAATAACATAACTTCCCGAATATCAGACATGCTGCTTCCTAAATGTCCCTGTATTCAAAGATTCCTGTTTTGTGAAATGCATCTATCATTAAAATAGTTTCTTTCCAGGCAAAACAGAATAGTTGGTGGAAAGCAAATATTTCTTAAAAAGCATCTAAACTGCACTCATCTTAGGAAGCAACCAGAAAACTTGTATTGCAGCCCTCGTGTCCTCTTGCCTCTGACAATGGTTCTCTGCTGCTTGTTTTGAAACTAGAAAAAACGTCTTGTTCGGTGCACAGTAAACACGAACTACTAAACTGAGCTGTTTAAAACCTCTGGCAATCAAAAAAACGCCACTTACACTGTTTCTGGTAACTAAATTCAAAACCAGCTTGGTGAAAGTTTAAATACACAAAGGGGAAAAGTGTCATCTACATTTAGAAAGTAAGTGACCTACTTCTACAAGCTCTTGTTAGTGTCAAAATGCAGCTATTTCCCAAAGCCTCTAAGCGCCATCCTCTGTCCTCAGGCCAAGCAGCCTTTGACTTTCAAGCTCTGCCTGAGCAGGGAGTTGCAGGTTTAGGCTGTTTTAATCCAAAACAGGACTTCAAACTCTTCAGCCTGACCGAAGTGGGGGGTGGGGTGGTGGTGGTGGTGGTGGGGGTGGTGGGTGCGTTGAGGGGTGGGAGAGATCACAGTAAGCTATTCTTAAAAGTCCAGCAACATTAAGCATGTGAATATGTAGCTCTTGTATTAATGACTTAATACGAATGATCTAAAATAAATTGTAAAACTTGATAACTGGAAAACTAGGTATAAGCGACCAACATATACACGGCTGAGTCTGTGAGTACTTTGTAAATGGCAGCTGGGAGGGCGGATTTAAAACATTTGCATTGTCTGAAAACCCACCTCAAGCATTTCTTGAGACTTACACTATCAGCTGTTCAAAAAAAAAAAAAAAAAATAGAAGTAAGGTTGCAACAAATGTTATTAAAAAGGAGGGGGGAGGAAACAGGCTGAAAGCCTTAATGTCCAAAGGAGAGCCCGTCCAAGTCGGGATTAATTCATGGGCGCGGGGAAGAAGCTGCTGTCCTCCAAGAGCTTCACCACGGCGGATCTCTTGTAGAGCTTGGCCAGGTCGTAGGCAGTGGCCCCCCGCTTGTTCTGGTGGCCCACCTTGCACTCCGCCTGCTCCAGCAGGTACTCCACCACCCGCACATGCCCCTCCCGGGCGGCCAAGTGCAAGGGCAGGTTGCCCTCGTCATCCTCAATGTTAACATCAGCTTTGAACTCCAGCAGAGTCTGCAAAGTGTCCAGAAACCCCTCTCTGGCTACATCATGAATTACAGCGAAGCCAGTACTGTCTTTCAGGTTGGGGTTTGCACCGTTAATTAACAACCTCCTGGCAATTTCGGGGTTCCCGAGTTTCATCACCTATGAGAGAAAAAGAAGAGTTGAATATCGCGGTGTGTGTGTGTGTGTTTGCTTCAGCACTGGCTTTAGATCCTCAGTTCTTATCTCTGGGTTTTGTCAGTCCTCAGTTAAAACAGAGGGAAGAGCCTTGCTGTAAAACCAATGATACAGCAGAACATCTGGGTTTTTTTAACGTATATTTTACTAAACTCAGTGAAATCGTGCAAGATGTTATCATTTCAGTGGCAACAGCTTTCTGTCTCAGCAACATTAATGTCTGAAATAGGCAGCATAGAATGGGGATATAATAATTTTTTAAAAAAATTTCAGTCTCTTAACGAAAATTAAGTGTGGTTCGGTTTTATTTGCCTAAGTATTGAGACACATTTACATTACTGTTTAATCTTGTTAAACATCAAATACAGAGTCTCTGAGGAACAGATACTTTACTTCAGCAACAGCAAATGTTGAATGTGTTTTTATAAGCTTTCAGGTGTTTACATTGTCTGTGCATTATCATAAAACAAATATTTGGACTGTACCATAGCTCTGTCTGCTAAGAAAAATAAATGCTAGAAGAAATTTTTCTCCCCAATATTTGTGTTTTATGATGGCACCCAAAAAAGAGAAGTTAGAAGGAATGTTTCGAAGTTCCAGAAGCTTTTTTTATAAAACCAGTATATCACATTATACTTTCATAATTTCACAGTAAGTAAACTGTGGCTATATTCTGTTGTTAAAAAGATCCCTTTAAAAAATAAATACAACAACAATAATTGGATTTTCTGACTGTTTCTCTGAGGGAAAAAAGAAAGCTTATTTGAATTTTCTCAATTGCATCATAAAACTATCACAATTAGAACGCAAATCTCTCTTATTTGGGACTTAATAACTTGCACCAATTTCCCCGAAATTCTTCATTTTTTGTTTGGTCAAAGACTCTCAAAAAATGAACCTGGTAAAGTATAATCTCCATCTTACAGGCAATATTTTCCAGTCCTTGTAATTAGCCTCATTATAAGTGTCAAATTCGAAAAAAAAAACCACCTTTTTTTTTTTTTTTTTTACTTCCTTAGAAATGTCCACATATTGATTTGAAAAACTTGGTAAAAAAAAATATCTGCATAAACGAGCATTACAGTGCATTAGATGTAGCATAATGTACAATTTCCACAAGGGATTTGCTGAAAAACGCTCCTGGTGAGAAAGATATATTAGGCTTTTTAAGAAAAGCAAGCTATAATAAATATAATTAGTGCAGCGTTTGGACTGCAAAGCAGCCCTGTATATTATATCTACAGACAAGAACAAAA